AAATACAACCTTGATTATATCCCACCTGAATTTTGAGACCATCTGAAGAGCAGATTTGACACACTGAACAACAGTGACCAAAAACCAGACAAATTGTGGACTGACATCAAGAAAATCATACATGAAGAAAGCAAAAGGTCATTAAAAGGACAGGAAAGCAGAAAAGACCAAAATGGATGTCAGAAGAAACTCTGAAACTTGTTCTTGAACAGAAAGTAGCTAAAGCAAATGGAAGAAATGACAAGATAAAAGAGCTGGAACAGAAGATTTCAAAGAACAGCCTGAGAAGACAGAGTAAATTATTATAATGAAATGTGCAAAGACTTGGGAGTTAGAAAACCAAAAGGGAAGAACACGCTCAGCATTTCTCAAGCTGAAAGAACTGAGGAAAAAATTTTAATCTCAAGTTGCAATATTGAAAGATTCTATGGGCAAAATGTTGAATGATGCAGAAAACATCAAAAGAAGATGGAAGGAATACACAGTCACTGTACCAAAAAGAACTGGTTGATGTTCATCCATTTCAGGAGTGGCCTGTGTTCAAGAACCAATGATATTGAAGGAAGAAGTTGAAGCTGCACTGAAGGAATTGGTGAAAAACAAGGCTTCATGAGTTGACAGAATACTATAGAGATGTTTCAACAAATGGATGCTACACTGGAGGTATTTACTCATCTATGCCAAGTAATTTGGAAAATAGTTACTTGGCCAGCTGACTGGAAGAGATCCATATTTGTGCCCATCCCAAAAAAAAAAGTGATCCAACAGAATGTGGAAATTATTTAACAATATCATTAATATCACATGCAAATAAAAGTTTGCTGAAGATAATTCAAAAATGGTTGCAGCAGTATATTGACAGAGAACTTCCAGAAATCCAAGCTGGATTCAGAAGAGGACGTGGAATGAGGGATATCATTGCAGATGTCAGATGGATCTTGGCTGAAAGCAAATACCAGAAAGATGTTTACTTGTGTTTTATTGACTATGCAAGGGCATTTGACTATGTGGATCATAGCAAATTATGGATAACTGTGGTAGTTAAATTTGTGTGTCAACTTGGCTGGACCTGGTTGAGTGACTGGGCAGCTGAATGTTGTTATTTCCCGTGTTGAGATTGGTAGTTAACTCCATGGTGGACTATATTGGAGTAGCTGAGTAGCTCCTTTGGGTGTGTGGTCTACTACAGAAGGCTGGTGGTTTAAACCCACCAGGCCCCCCTAGGAAGGAAAATGGGGCAATCTACTTCCGTAGTGATACTCTCAGAAACCCAAGGAGGAGTAGCTATGAGTCGGGTCCAACTTGACTTCACGTAACAACAACAACCCGTATATAAGAAACAACTTTGGGAATGGTCTCTAGCTTATGGCACGCTTGAACCCTTCATGTAGCTGTGTCGTTGTTCAGCATTCTGCCATGTTCTGCCAACCTTGGAACTTATAATGGACTTGAATTCATGGCCTGGCATGTGGTTTGGTAACATTGGGACTGTGCATTTTTACTTGTCAACCTTGGGTTTGTCAGTCTCAGCACCCAGTAGCTGTCTGAGTGAAGAAAGGCCTCTAGCTCCAGTGGGCTGGGAGCAGGAAGCAGAGCTGAAACCCAAGATTGAGGGGCTTTCACACAATCCCTGGAGCCTGGCACTTGGAACTCAGACTTCTAGCCTCCCAAATTGTAAGAGAATAAACTCATGTTTTTTCAAGCCATCCCATTTGTGGTATATTCCTGTCAGAGCAATACTAGGTAACCAGAACAATAACATTGTGAAGAATGAGAATTGCAGACCACTTAATTATGGTCTTGAGGAACCTGGACATAGACCAAGAGGCTGTCATTCAAACAGAACAAGAAGATGTTGCATGGTTTAAAATCAAGAATGGTGTGCATCAGGGTTGTATCCTTTCACTATATGTGTTCAGTATGTGTGCTGAACAGATCATCTGAAAAGCTGGACTATGTGGATTAGAGAAAAACTCATTAACAACCTGTGATATGCAGATTATACAACCTTGCTTGCTGAAAGAACCAATACTTTGAACCACTTACTGATGAAGATTAAAGACTATGTCTTCAGTATGGATTACAGCTTAACATAAAGAAAACAAAATCCTCACAACTGGACCAATGAGCAGCATCACGGTAAATGGAGAAAAGATGGAAGTTGTCCAAGATTTCCTATTACTTGGATCCACAATCAACACCCATGAAAGCAGCAGTCAAGAAATCAGACAACGTACCGCACTGGACAAATCTGGTGCAAAAGATCTCTTGGAAGTGTTGAAGAGCAAAGATGTCTCATTGAAGGCTAAGGTGAGCTTAACCGAAAACCATGGTGTTTCCAGTCGCCTCATACACATGTGAAAACTGGACAGTGAACAAGGAAGACGGAGGAAGAGTTGATGCCTTTGAATTGTGGAGTTGGTGAAGAATGCTGAAAATACCATGGACTGCCAGAAGAAGCAGCCAGCATGCTCCTTGGAAGCAAGAATGGCCAGACTTCGCCTCACCTGCTTTGGTCATGTAGTCAGAAGGGACCATCCCCTGGAGAAGGATATCATGCTTGGTGGAGTGGAGGGCCAGTGAAAAAGGGAAGACCTCCAACACGATGGATTGACACAGTGGCTGCAGTAATGGGCTCGGGTATAATCAGGATTGTGGGGATGGTGCATAACTGGGCGTTTCATTGTGTTGGACACAAGGTTGTTATGAGTCAGAGCGTGATGGCATCTAACAACAACATCAGTGTCCAATAATTTCAGATGATTCTGTTTTCTCTTTTGTAGTTCATTTGTAAAACCAAATTGTTGGAAGAAAGTGGTGCCATATTTTCCATGTTGGTTTTGTTTCTTGTTTGTTTCCTCTTTGTATAGATCGTATGTTACATATACTTCACAAGGATCATTGCGTTTCTCCTCAAGCTTGCTGTTCCATTCCAGTGGAAGTGGCTCTACCAGGTAGGCTGCTTGCAGAGAGTAGCACCAGAGAATTTAGTCGGAAGTTAAAGTTTTGGGATAGAGGAATAGTGCAGTTGCAGCTTAAGGTTGTTATTCATTTATCTAGGAGTAACCACAAGACCTTCAGTCTCATCTGGTCTATAATTAAGATAATCTGTTTGTCCAGTAAAGCTATTGGATTACATGAGAAATCTGGAAATAATTGCATTATTGATTTTCATTTTCAATTTTCAAAGTTTTTAAACAGAAAGCCTCAGGCAGAGAGAGTAAAATTTGTCATGTATAATTAAAACCTGGATGAGATGTAGTCTTTTCCTTCAGCCATGGGGTTTAGAATAGCTTAGAATCCAGACCTTTCTTTCCTCATTATTATTTCAATACTAAAGGACCTTTGCAATATAATAGAACTAGTTTAACTACTAGAGTAAGCCTCCAGATGATGTAGAGACGTATTTTTTCTTGAAGAACTCACTTTGTTCGTTAGCCATTGTAGGAATGTGTGGACATATAACGAGCTTTTAAAAGATACCGATAAAGACTGATTAGAGCACAGTCTCTTAAATGATTATCTCTGGGCAAAATGCTATTCACGGAGGCCTCAGGAAATCTTGTAAGGAAAGTGCTGTCTATGAGTAAACGCTGGCCTGTGGGTAATCAGCTAGTGGTGGATTGGAGAGAGCGAGGCTGTGTCAGTTTGTTTAGTTCCACAGCTATCTGAAGAACAGTGTTCCTAATCCATTTATTTTGGGGTGTATTTTAAATTTGCAGCTCCTGGATGAAATGGCCACGCTGGTATTCTTTGTTTTAACTGGGTATAAATTCCGTCCAGCTTCAGACAATCCCTACCTACAGCTTTCTCAGGAAGAAGATGACTTGGAAATGGAATCTGTGTAAGAAATCCCCCCTTCCTTCCCCCTCTTCCCCTCTTCCTTTACCCTAACTGACAGCAACACAGCATGGGTTGAACCAGCTGCTGTCCACATTTTGTTGCTCCAGATGTGGTTCCTCTATTTTCAGCTGAAGGAAATGGACACTTAAGCCCCAGGCTCTCTTACTTACATTTAAGTACAGCATCTGCCAAGCATGGCTCAGTCTTTTCAGGGAAAATAGAATTTGCCATCCTACTAAGTGTTATTGGAGCCTGCTTCCAGTAACTCACTGGCAAGAACTTAGGAATATACTTGGCCTGTTCAGAACTACTGAGAGCGGGCATCCCCACTTCCTGTTGGGCCCCTGCCATTGGGAGCTTATTATGTCTGCAAATGTAATCATCTGAGTCATGTGTAAGTGCTGATTATCCTCAAACGTCATTTATCATAAGATAACTAAGTGGGTTTTCACAGCTAGCACATTGACTTTGACCTGCAGCTGAGCATTGATAAGGGCTTTTCTCATTCACAAGGTAAGTGACTAGGGTCCCATTTTCTGGGCGAGGCAATCATTTTCTGAGAATGTGAATAGCGCATGAGTGTTTTTGCTCGTCAGCTCATGAGTTGTGATCAGCCAAGTTAACAGATGGGTTTGATGATTAGCCTAAGGTTGAGTTTTTCCTTCCAGCACAGGCAGCCTTTTGACTTCTTGCAGTTCAGAGGCTGAGACTAGACCCAGTCTGGGCTCTTCTTGGCTGTAGGACAGGTCAGGCAGCCTGAGACAGTTCTTTATGCTCAATTTCACTCCAAAACCAAACCAAACTCACTGCTATCGAGTTGATTCCGACTCATAGTGACCCCCTTTGGGTTTCTGAGGTGGTAAATCTTCACGGAAGTAGATTGCCCAATCTTCCTTCTGCAGAGTGGCTGGTGGGTTTGAACCAGCAACCTTCTGCTTAACAGTCAGATGCCTTAGGCACTATGCCACCAGAGCTCCTTCACTACTGGAACGATAAACAGAAGACAGGTCTCATGGATGGGCCCAAAACAGCAACTCCCAGTGCAAAAGGAAGAGATACTCTTTTTAGATAAAGGAAATAGCTCTTTTAGATAGGGGACGGAAAGGTAGGGTCCAGGACCGTCAGACGTGCCTTATATAGAATTAGCAGAATCTGAGCAAGTGACTGTTGGATACAGAGGCACAGGTGACTGAATTAAACTCCAAAATGGTTGGATCAGTTGACGTTCCTGCCTACAAAGTAAGAGCTCCTCTTTTCCACATCTTTTCCATCTGATACTACATCTTAAAACATGGATACACAGTGAAAATATTTTGTGTATCATGGAAAAATGTTTTTCGTTTTGTTTTCTGGGTTTTTTTGTCTTGCTCTGACAATATTTGATGGTAAACCAAAACCAAACTCGCTGCCATGGAATCGGACCCAACTCATAGCGACCCCTCCTTGGGTTTCCGAGGTGGTATCACTACGGAAGTAGATTGCCCAGTCTTCCTTCCAAGGAGTGGCTGGTGGGTTTGAACCGCCAGCCTTCTAGTTAGCAGTCAGATGCCTCAGGCACTATGCCACCACCAAAAACAAACCAAACTCACTGCCGTCAAGTCGGACCTGACTCATAGCAACCCCTTCTTGGGTTTCCGAGGCGGTATATCTATGGAAGTAGATCGCCCTATCTTCCTTCCACCACCAGAGTGTCTATATTTGATGGTAGGGTAACTGTTTTAGCAAGAGGTTCTTTGTGTTTGTGTTAAAATCAGAGGATGAAAGGAGGGAGTAGACGAACAGACCACTAGACTAGTAGGGCCTAGAGGGAGTATGTTCTTTATTCTGGTAAGATTTGGGAAAGATTGGTAAATGAGGAATTTGGAAATGTTGGATCAAGGGTTGTCCTCCGGCTGCTTCATTTTACACACCAATTACAAGGGAAGAGTACTCTGATTATGCTGGGTACTTTTTAGTTGCTTAGTGAAGTGAGCTATTCTTCAGTGGCAGAAAGGCTACATGGGTGGCAGCTCTAGAGGGAGAGACAAACATATTTTACCTCTCAACCAGATGAGGGTTCTGCTTAGGGGCTGGTATTCTGTGAGCAGTAGCCTGGTATGAACCTGTGAAAAAGAAGTTTGTGAGGCGGGCTCATTGTACAGAGGAACAAATGAAGTTTAGTGAGGTAAGGTGCCTTTAAATCAGCAAGGAAATTATTCTGAGGAAGTTCTTCGGCTAAGAAGTCTACTGTTGAGAAAGTTCTGTGAATTTATAAGATATGACATAGCAAAAAAGGCTTTGCAATAGAGGCTTCAGCCATCAGCCTGCCATATCAACTGCAGGTGAGTGGGAGGGCTCATTGCAGCTTCTCAGTGACAGCATGGTCACCTAAGGCTGTCATCTCCCTCTTCTTGGGGAAACGGTATTCCTGGATGGCATCTCTTAAATCCTCCAGAAATAAACCAAGCCAGAGGCAAGCAGAGCCCTGACCTCTATTTTCTAGAAGGTCATTAGCTCTCTGTAAAGTGGCCTGCATGTTGGTGGGTGTTGCCTGAAGAAAGGAGCTTAAGTCTGGTCCCTGTCACAGAACAAAGCAACCTTTTATGGAGAGTAATAGTCCTTATGCCTCACAACCAACCAGCAAGTCTCCACCCCACCACAGCACACACACATCTGTACCCCAAGACAGATCTACAGGGGTTTCTTCCTAATAAGTCTTATCATCAGGGCTCAGCACTGGCAACACGTGAACTCTGATCTGGGCCACTCACTGACTTTATAGATTGAGGCGGTGCATAGTTTGTTTCTCACCTCTTCTCGCCTCCTCTAGCTGAGCTGTGGGAGTGTGGTACGTCTGGGAGGGTGACTCTCCTAGTTGATGCCAGGTGCTAGCCATGCTCCCTTTGGAAACACAGTGCCTTCCAGGTGCGTTGCTTCTGCCCTGCCTCTGGCCTAGGCCTCTATGCAGGCCCCAGCAGGCCTTGCGCAGCTTCTCCCTCCAAGCCTATGGAATGAGGGCATAATTTAACACTGACTTTGTTTCTTTTTCCCCCTTCTGTTTCTTTCACCATTTCTCTTTGGATTGAAGCTCAAAGAAGCTTATATATTTTTTTTTTTTTAATTGTGATTTGGGTGAAGATTTACAGAGCAGATTCACTTTCTATACAGCAGTTCACATACACTTTGTCTCATGACATTGACCACAGTTTACCACAATGCAACAGCTCCCTTCCCACTTCCTCCCCATAGTTACCCCTTCCCAGTGTCCATCCCTCCATGTACTCCTGCCCCCTGAGCTGTCTCCCTGTACATAAGCAGCCCTTCTTTCTCCCATGATTGTTCTCTCCAAGGGGTGTATCTACCTGAGGTAAAATGTTCATCTCATATGCCTGTCTTTTGTTTGGCTGGAAACCACAGGTGTGAATTCAATTCCAGACCTGAAGGGCAGCTAGGGGCCATAGGCTCAGTGGTTCCACCAGGCTCTATCGGACCAGCAAACTTGGTCCCTCCCCCCCTTTTTTTTTCCTCCAAATGATTTTGAGTTTTGTTGCACATTATTCTCCCTCTCTATCAAGGATCTCCTACATAGATCTCCTTCCAAGTGGATGACAGTGGTAGCCGGGCACCATCTAGTTCTTCTGGTCTCATAGTCATATAGGCTGCAGATTGGATGGTGTACCAGTCACAAGGATTAATTGTTGAATTAATTGAATTTTGGTTTTCTTCATTCTTCTTTGCTCTGGACGAGGAGAGACCCATCATTGCATCTAGATGGCCCCTTGCTAGCTTTTAAGATCCCAGTCACTACTCACCAAAGTAGGAGGTGGAACAATGTTTTGTATAGTATGTTATGCCAATTGAGCTTGATGTCCCCTGCAACTATGGTCCCAAGCCCACAGGTTCAACTACTCAGTCCTTCTTGGTAGCTGGCTGTTACCAAGCAGTGATCATAACCTTGCCCCTTGTCAGCTCTACTATACACCTGGGAATTCTGATCATTCACATAAACTTATAGGACTATTGTCTGCCAACCCTATACATGTTCTTAGATACCTTCCCCATTTCATAGACATATCTAATAGTTCAGCCTGTCCACCCATCTATCCACCCATATACCCATGTTTGCTCAAAGAGGCTTATACATTGTAACACAATTTATCACAAAAAATTCAGCAAGTTGAAAAGTTTTGGGTATAATATTAACAGGGCTTCGAACTGGTTCAGTCATGGCTGACAGAACTACAACTGAATTTTTTTAATCTGGGTTATCTGGAACACTAACTGAATGGGAAAAATTATAAGTCAAAGTCCTGGAATGGGGTACTTGGAATAGTGAGCCCTTTCAGGAACCCAGTGTCTGACATTGCATTATTGCCAGGACTGTGGAGAGTGACACACATTCAAAATGGTACGATTAGTTGCCACCTCTGAGCCATCTGGTTTTTGACTCTGCTGGTCAAGAGATTTGTTGCTCTGAAATCCATGTGCTGCCTTTGTTTCTAAGAAGGAGGTTACGTTTCCAGGGCTTCAGCCTGTAATTTTTCCCATTCTGGGTAGCATCCTTGTTCACCCACATTTTAAAATTGGGCTCCATTCTGGTGTTCCTTGGTTAGCCATCACTGAACTGGGCTGAATCAGTTTGAAACTCTGAATTTTAATTATCAGACTTGGTAGCTTCCTCGTAAGGCATGCCTGTCCTCGATGGTCTGAGTTATTTCTGTCATCTCAAGAGGAAGGAGTGGGGAAGAAATGTTGAGTGTGGGTTCCAGGGCTGGGGAGTTGTCTTCTTGGTGTTCCCCTTCCTGGAAGCTGTCCTCAAGGTTGCCATTAACCTGTTACTACTTCCTGCATTCATTTAAGTGGATCTTCACCAAAAACTCACTGCTGTTGAGTTGGATCCAACTCATAGCGACCCCTCCTTGGGTTTCTGAGGCAGTATCGCTACGGAAGTAGATTGCCTCATCTTCCTTCCGAGGGGTGGCTAGTGGGTTTGAACTGCCAGCCTTCTAGTTAGCAGTCAGA